ATATTTTTCGATGTTGAAGATGCTTTTGAATGCTTTCAAGCACCTGAACAGCATCAATTGCAAATCCAGTAACACCAAACATATTCAAAATCAAGAATTTGATTGGTCTTTTCTTCTGTTCACAATCAATCAAAATATTCTTTATAAAGTCTTCAACTCCTTTCATTGTTCTGTAAAACATATACCCTTGTAATGTCATTACATAGATTTGACTATCAAGTTGTTTGAGAAATTTTTGGTCTCGATAATGCCTTCTGACAGAAGATCTAGCTGAATTACCTGAAAAAGTTGCTCGAATTACACCCTTTTGATAATTTAATATCATGAAAAATATATAAGAGAACATAATTCCTATAAATATTCCTTTGAGAAGTCCAATATTTATCATTGCAAACATTGTGATCATGATATTCAAATATTCCAATTTATTGAAAAACATCCATGAATCTATCAATGCCTCTTTTATCACCTTCAGTCCCAAGTAGAAGACCATTGTGCCTACAGCTATTGTAGGAATGTATTTAATAAACAGTTGTCCAAAATATGCTGTTATACCAAGACAAAATGCAAGTATCAATCCTACAACACGATTGTTTATTCCTGATTTAATCAATAAACTTGATTCTTCATACCCAAAGGAAACTAGTATTATTGATATATTATAATATTATTGGTAGGGTTACATGATTTTCACAAATAACAAAACAAGCAAATAAACAAATAATAATAATAATTATATTCTAACCTTGAAAAGTTCCAGATATTCCAGCAATTAAATTAGAAACTCCTTGAACAGTCAGTTCACAATCTGTATTAAATTGATGATTGTCATCAAGTGAAGCTTCCAATTTACCAATGTTTATATTGACATTTAGTATTGTAAAGTATGCAAGGGTGAGCATTGTTGGAATAGTTTTTATTATAGCTTCCCAATTAATTAATCCAAAATCTATATAATCAATATATATTGTTTATAATTAATATATTATATTTATATACAGTATATCGAATTTTCAAAAATCTTGTAATAATGAAAACATAAAAATTCGTTGGCGATTAGTAATTTCGTTTCAACGAATTTTGAAATTGAAATTACGGAGTGGGGTGAAATTCTGATTGGCTAATTTGAATTTCACATGTGAATTGCGGATTCATTTTCACGTATATACAACATACCGAAATTAGAGTAGAATTCAAACATTGTGATTTGATCATCTAAAGCAAATATCCAACCATCATCAATCAAAGAATCCAAAGAAATGCCCAAGGAATATATTACTAGGTAGAAGCCCAAGAAAATTGATAGAAAACTTAAAGTGGTGATTATTGGAACATGATTGCTTTTAGTTTTGGTTTTACGTCTAATAAATATAATAATGATCAAGAGGAAGAGTCCCAAAGAAAAAGCTAAACTCCACGAAAAAATATTATTCTCATGTAAAATTTTCTTAAATGTCTTATAATCGAAATCAAAATTCCTGGATCTGTGAACAGAAAACTTTATAGCAGTCTTCAGTAAGTAGCAACCAATACCACCAAATGTTCCGATATAAATGTGTCTCGGGAAAAACTCCAAAAGGAAATTTAACTAGAAATTTTTTATTATTAGATATATACCATATAATATATGACTATTATGAATATGTTATATAGGTTACCTTGAATCTTACAATTAATAAAAGCCCAATACTAGTTAGCATGGTACTTAGCGCATAAGCAAATATTGTTGTGTAAACTATCATCGTTTCAGGTACCGATTCAAGATGTTTAAGATGATGTCTAATTATTCCCTCCCTTTTTAACCAAAGATAAAAGGAAAAGATTATTAAGTATTATTTTATTTTCTTCTTTCAAAATAGAAAATTGAAAGATTTACTTACATCAAATGAAAAAATGGTATTACTATTATTATTATTATTTAAAAAAGATCTTTTATTAAACTATGAATAATTTTGACCTCTAATTTAAAAAAAATACTTGCATAATATGATCATTGTACTATTTCCACCTTGGAATTTACCACCAATAGAATTTATGACTTTTGAAATAATACAACTTTATTGATAATAATGAATACGCGGGATCGTTAGCCAATTAATTAAATAAAGTTGATCTATCATAATTATATAGCCTACCTTGTAAAAAACATCATCATGCCAACATATTTATATTTTCCAAATACATACTTGTCATTGTTTTTTTGATTGTAACGATGAAAGGTTGCTATTCCTAATTTATTTTTAAAAAATTTTTAATATTAAATATTAAACTTATACATACACGCATGCGAATAATCACACGTTTTGCAAAGTTGATTGTTGAGTGGCACTGGGAATCGTCCGCATGTATTTCTTCTAATATAATATTATTATTACCGAAAGTTATTCCATGTATGATATTTAATAGAAAAAATACGCTAATATAATAATACAGCCATGGATTCATAATAGCGTCTTTAAACTCTTTTATATTTGATGATGACACGTTCCAATCAATATGAAATGATGATGGACAACAAGCATTTGTCCCTGATCTTGGAAACCAGTAGTCATCATCTTCAATCGATATGGAAACATCTTCTATTGCTGATGTTGCCTTATAATTGTTGTATCTAGGTGAATTACCCAACAATGGCGAGTTTATAGTTTTTGAATTTTCATCTGCTATAACAGCGTTACTTGGCCCAGCCGTTATTTTCGGCACATTATCTTGCAGTTGACCCTCTGTTGGGTGATGATGACCTGGCGGTGGCGGTGGATGTTGTTGGAGTATTTTAGTTAAATTGCTCAAATTGTTGTCTTTTGCTCCTGTATTATTATTATGTGCATAGATTAATAATATATATATTTTTTTAATTCATGTATTTACCAAAAAAATTAGCACTACCATTATTATTGTTGTTATTTTTCATGTTTTTAAAAAGAGTTAAAACTAATCAGAGAATTAATGGTAACAGTCATATTTTATAGAGAAACGGAAAATAAAAAATCACGGAATTTTTTTTTAAAATAATAATAATTCCTGATAATACTAGTTAGTATTTGTTCCAAACCGGTTTGACTAATATATACTTATTATTTATTATACTAATATTAAAGTTTTGTTTTTTTCGTGTTATATATATAAATAAAATTAACATGTTGATAAACAAACATGAAATAAGCTCAAAAAAAGAAAAAAAGACAGAATGTAAGTTGATAAAACAAACATGAAAATAAGACGAAATGAAAATAGCAATAACAAATTAATGATTTATTTATATTTCATCTTGATCAATAAATAATCTGTGCATGTTAATAATTGCAAAATGTTGCTGCCACTACTATCAGACGCAATTTACTGGATTACAAAGTTTATTATAGAATGTGGTTTTCTATATAGATAAAAAAAATTATATAAAAAAATAAAACGATAATTTTTTTTTCGCATTTATTTAATTTTTTTATTTGTCAATCATAATAATTATCATATCCAAATCGTAATAATTCCGCTACTTAAACGCTCTAGTCTTGGGGAAATTCTTGTTCGATATAATAATAATAAAGGATCATAAGTAATATCAATTTTACTAGATTATTCATACTTATTACGTGAAAAATTTATATTTATGTTTATTTTATAAAAATTGAAAGAAATACAATAAATTATACATATTAACGTTTTAAGTATTAGTATCCCCGCTGATACCAAAATTTGTTATAACGCGACTACCAAATCTATTTTAATTGTACTGTAATAATAATCTGCGAATTTCTAAATACGCATAACCATCCAACCCGCCAATAAAATTTTAAATATGTTGCGGTTTCGGATGATTTTGCGGCGATTATGTTACCAACCTTTAAAGATAATATAATAATAAAAACTCTAAATATTTACATAATTTACAATTATCATTTGTCATTTTTTTGTTTTAATCAAATGCATAATGATTTAAGTTGCATAACCTTTCTACAGAGGATTTCATTGCCAATTTCATAAACATGGCTCCTAAAATGGAATTACTTCTCATCATCCTTAAATAAGCAGCCTGATCCATTTTCCATAGAACGCATAGAGTATTTGTCACCAAATTTGTTGGTCGCTGTTTATCAGTGAAAAATCCTAATTCACCTACCATGGTAAGTGGCAAAATTCTCTCAATTACATTTGGTTTGTTGTTTTCTGCTGGAATCCATGTGCTCAATTGTCCTTGTTCCACAACATATATACAATTTGGATCATCACCTTTTGACCACAGTTGTGAGTCCTTTTGTATTTCTTCTTTTGTAAAATATGGAACTAGCAAATTGAAAAATTCTTCTTTTTCATTTGTAATTTCCTTAAATGCTTTCATTAAAATATTTACAAGTTTATTTTTGCTTTTAAGACAAATTTCATCTAAAAAAAAAAACGATGAAATGAGTGAATGTAAATTGATGGATGTGTGATATGTGTAAATTAATTATTAAGCCTACAGTAAAACCTTGTTTCGACGAATTATAATTAAATTCTTGTTTCAACACATTTTTAAAAATCTTGTTTCAACGAATTTGAATGAAATTTCGTTGCAACAAGGCTAATACTGTAAATAACAACAATCAATTGATTTACTTACTTTCAAATACAATCTTTCCAGCATCTTCGACTTGATTACTACAAAAATACTCATCATTAAGTAAAGATGACATGGTCTGATGCTGTACTCCAACTTTAATTATATTAAAAAAAATATTATTAACAATAATGATAAACAATAAATGATTTCTAAATTATTTTAACTTTTAATTACCAAGTTGATTATCACTGTATAATAGTCTATGATTAGCATAATAAGTCCCCAAGAGTAAATTCTCACACCATTCCAGTGCTTCATTAGCTTCATCACAAAACTTTACATGATCATTTGTAACATCATTCCAAAATAGTAATTTTTTCAATGGTGTGTAAACTTGCTGAGATTCATGTGAAATTTCGCAGATTACAAGGTATATTTTTCGATGTTGAAGATGCTTTTGAATGCTTTCAAGCACCTGAACAGCATCAATTGCAAATCCAGTAACACCATACATATTCAAAATCAAGAATTTGATTGGTCTTTTCTTCTGTTCGCAATCAATCAAAGTATTCTTTATAAAGTCTTCAACTCCTTTCATTGTTCTGTAAAACATATATCCTTGTAATGTCATTACATAGATTTGACTATCAAGTTGTTTGAGAAATTTTTGGTCTCGGTAATGCCTTCTGACAGAAGATCTAGCTGAATTACCTGAAAAAGTTGCTCGAATTACACCCTTTTGATAATTTAATATCATGAAAAATATATAAGAGAATACAATTCCTATAAATATTCCTTCGAGAAGTCCAATAGTTATCATTGCAACCATTGTGATTAAAATATTCAAATATTCCAACTTATTGAAAAACATCCATGAATCTATCAATGCCTCTTTTATCACCTCTAGTCCCAAGTAGAAGATTATTGTGCCTACAGCTATTGTAGGAATGTATTTAATAAACAGTTGTCCAAAATATGTTGTTATACCAAGACAAAATGCAAGTATCAATCCTACAACACGACTGTTTATTCCTGATTTAATCAATAAACTTGATTCTTCATACCCAAAGGAAACTAGTATTATTGATATATTATTGGTATTATTGGTAGGGTTGCATGATTTTCACAAATAACAAAACAAGCAAATAATGATAATAATTCTATTCTAACCTTGAAAAGTTCCAGATATTCCAGCAATTAAATTAGAAACTCCTTGAACAATCAGTTCACAATCTGTATTAAATTGATAATTGTCATCAAGTGAAGCTTCCAATTTACCAATGTTTATATTGACATTTAGTATTGTAAAGTATGCAAGGGTGAGCATTGTTGGAATAGTTTTTATTATAGCTTCCCAATTAATTAATCCAAAATCTATATAATCAATATATATTGTTTATAATTAATATATTATATTTATGAAAACATATAAAATTTCGTTGGAATGTAATTTTGTTTCAACGAATTTTGAATGAAATTTCTTCCATGTTCAGCTGCTTCGCTGTAACAAGGTTATACTGTAAATCAGTAAGCAGATTTATATACTCATACTTACGGAAATTAGAGTAGAATTCAGACATCGTGATTTGATTATCTAAAGCAAATATCCAACCATTATCAACCAAAGAATCCAAAGGAATGCTCCAGGAATATATTACTAAGTAGAAGCTCAAGAAAATTGATAGAAAACTTAAAGTGATGATGACTGGAACATGATTGCTTTTAGTTTTGGTTTTACGTCTAATAAATATAATAATGACCAAGAGGAAGAGTCCCAAAGCAAAAGCTAAACTCCACGAAAAAATATTATTCTCATGTAAAATTTTCTTAAATGTCTTATAATTGAGATCAAAATGCTTGGAATGTTTAACTGAAAACTTTACACCAGTTTTTAGTAAGTAGCAACCAATGCCACCAAATGTTCCGACATAAATGTGTCTCGGGAAAAACTCCAAAAGGGGATTTAACTAGAAATTTTTTTTTATTAGATAAAACAATATATACGATATAATATATAATTACTATGAATATGTTGTATAAGTTACCTTGAATATTACAAACAATAAAAGCCCAATACTAGTTAGTATGGTACTTAGCGCATAAGCAAATATTGTTGTGTAAACTATCATTGTTTCAGGTACCGATTCAAGATGTTTAAGATGATGTTTAATTATTCCCTCCCTTTTTAATCAAAGATAAAAGGAAAAGATTATTAAGTATTATTTTATTTTCTTATTTCAAAATAGAAAAAATTCGTTGTTGAAAGATTTACTTACACCAAATGCAAAAATGGTATTACTATTATTATTATTTAAAAAAAGATCATTTATTAAATTATAAATCATGAATAATTTTGTCCTCTAATTAAAAAAAAAAAATACTTGCATAATATGATCATTGTACTATTTCCACCCTGGAATTTACCACCAATAGAATTTATGACTTTTGAAATAATGCAACTTTATTGATAACAATAAATACGCGGTTAGCCAATTAATTAAATAAAGTTGATCTATTATAATTATATAACCTACCTTGTAAAAAACATCATCATGCCAACATATTTATATTTTCCAAATACGTACTTGTCATTGTCTTTTTGATTGTGATGATGAAAGATTGCTATTCCTAATTTGTTTTTAAAAAAGTTTTAATATTAATTATTAAACTTATACATACACGCATGCGAATAATCACACGTTTTGCAAAGTTGATTATTAAGTGTCATTGGGCATTGTCCGCATGTATTTCTCCCAATATAATAATATTATTACCGAAAGATATTCCATGTATGATGTTTAATAGGAAAAATATGCTAACATAATAATATAGCCATGGATTCATAATAGCGTCTTTAAACTCTCTTATACTTGATGATAACACGTTCCAATCAACATGAAATGATGATGGACAACAAGCATTTATCCCTGATCTTGGAAGCCGGCAATTGTCTTCAATCAGTATGAAAACATCTTCTATTGCTGATGTTGACTTATTTCCATAATTTCTGTTGCTATGACTAGATAAATTATCTAACAATGGAGATTGTTCAGTTTTTAAACCTTCATCTGCTATAACAGCGTTACTTGCCCCAGCTATTATTTTTGGCACATTATCTTGCTGCCGAGCCGCTACTGAGTAATAACCTGGTTGTGGCGGTGGATGTTGTTGGATCATTGTAGTTAAATTGCTCGTACTGTGATGGTTGTTATTTTTATAATTGTTATCTTTTGCCTGATTTACATTTACAGCTCCTGCACGATTGATTGCATGATTAATAAATTTTATTTATTTTATTTATTATTATGGAATATTTTTAAATTAAAGGTTCCTACCATTGTTCAAGGAAAAACACGTGCTGTTTTTTTTATTGTTATTGTTAACACTCATGTTTATTGAAAAGAAGTGAAAAAGTTAAATATTTTTAACATTCTAAATTCTTAAAAAGATTTTTTTTTATTTATATCCGTAGAAAACAATATATAAATATTGGAGTTAATTACTATTTCAATTCCTGAATATAGTAATGGTAATAAATAAAATGAATTATTTTTATGCTATATGCGCCCAATTTTTGTCAGAGTACAATAGGTATATATGTATATTAATATACTTTCAAAAAATATTCAATCGGATTGGATTCCACCGAAAATTTTTAACAAAGTATCTTTTTAGGCTATTTTAATGTATTATATATAACCAACTCTCAAACTTGTCTGTTTTTCTCTAAAGAAAATTGCAATAATAATAATAATCTTAAATTAATTAATAAAGAGGGGGTAAACACAATGATCATTGACAAACGTGCGAAAGTGAATTTTTAATTGCAAAATTCTGATTGGCTGTCACGCGTATAATTATAAATTCATGTCAATATATATGCATGCAACAAAAATATGCATTTCAATTTGTGCACCAAAAAATATAACCATTTCACGTGTTACAATGTATATTAATATCTATTTTTGTGTGTTGACAATTTAACAAAATCGACTTTACATATTTAAAGTCACCACCAGGCTTCACCGATCAACTAGTCAATTAATATTTAATAAAACAATAATCGTATTTACTTGCCTAATCCGATGTAAAATATGAGCACGTCAAGGTGTGTGTATATATATATATATATATATATTTGACTTTATGAAATGATTTTTTCATATATTGTGATGGATCAGAACAAAGCTTCGAGCGTTGCCACATGAATTTAATGCATACTAAAGATTCTATCACATCAAACAGAAATGAAAAAAATTTTTATTGTTCCTTTTTCATTTTCGTCATTCTACTAGAATTATATACAAATTGCCTAAAATTTTAATTTCATTTAAAAACATGCATGCATACATACCTGTTTGAATTACAATACTCTTCATTGAATGCAATCCACTTGGAATTGGTAATATTAATTTGTAATTTTTTTTACTTATTATTCTATTCGCCATCTACGTACGTATAATTATTACACTTGCCAGATTATAGCGTGAGAATTTTTGTCAATAATCGATTTTATTTTATTATTATTATTAATATTAACAATTACTCCGAATATATATAATTCGAGTTAATTTAAACCCAAAAAAGGAAACTCAAACTGAAAAAATGTCATAAGACTATAATATATATATTCATTAATACATTTTCAATTAATCTTCATAAATAATTACCTAAACAGAAAAAATACATTTAATCAGCTTTCAGGATTTATGTTAACATGACAACAATTATCAATTATGCAACAATATCGCCATTAGAACAATTAACACTTATTCGATAAGTGTGTGCAGTTGGAACGTTGTAACGCTATTGGAATGTTCCAGTGTAGATCTTCAATTGATATTGACCAATAATTCAGTTGATTAAATTGGCAAATAAAATAAAATGTAACAATCAAAAGCCTGGGTTTCTATGTATTCGTAATACAAATTCTTATTCGAATTATTCGTAATATATATACAATCAATCTTTAGTATTAAGTATTAGTATTAGAATTAAAAATTTAATTCGAATTAAAAATTTAATGAATTAAAAAGTCAATGTGAATTAAAAAATTTATTCAAATTAAAATTTATTCGAATTATTCGTTTTATTCAAATTACTAGTTTTATTCGTTTTATTCAAACTACTAGTTTTACTCGTCTTATAAAATATAGTCTTATTTCTCTAACAAGATAGTATAACAATAATTATATTTATGATCTATATTAATATTACTACTATTATAATCGCTGTACTATGACTCAAGAAAAGTGTCGCTACTACTATTTATTAATATCACTATATTCAAGGACCAAGGAAAAATAGATTAATAAAAGAAAAACAAATTTAATTGGATTGGATTAGCAATGTGCATATTCGAATAAACTTTCAATGTAATTCGAATACTCAAATTCATAACGAATAAAACGAATGATTCGAAAAAAAATTATTCGAATAGAAATTCTGCCAAAGCTAGTTAAATTCATATTCGATAAATTCATCATCGCCTAAATTCTTAATTTTTCAGGAATTATATTAAAATTCGATTCATAATCATAATAAAATCTCGATGATCGATAAAATCATAACTCTCTTACCTTTATTATATGCCATCGTACAAAAAATCTCGCTCTTTAAATTCGTGCCTCGTGTAATCATTAAAATATTACCATTACTATTACGTAAGTAGCAAATTCAAAAAATTTCCCTTGTTAAAACAACATCAAGTTTTCAAATTAAGCGTAGAAATATAGATGACAATAAGATTTCAATTGACAAAAAGGACTAAAACAATTTATCTTTTCTTGAAAAGCATATATAGAATTTGCGAAGCTAATTACAATAAATTTTTTTATCGAAAATCTCTTCTTTTTATAGAAAAAACTCAAGTCGTACATTCCCTATTCTCATTATATCATGAAATCAAAAAAGCGACTCTCGATAATAATAATAGCATAATAATAATACGATAAATTCATAAATTTGTTGCGCCAGACCTATGCGTTTAATGAGCTTTGACTGTACTATATTAAATTTTCAGAAATATCCATTAAAGGTTCTGGAACAGACTCCAAGGCATTTTAAAAAATTAATGTTAAAAATATTCACTTTAAACTTTATTTACCATGTTTTAATTTAATTAAAGCAGCTCTGGTACTTGTATTAAGGTTATTTAATGATAAGTTATAATTGAACTCATCAAAATCATAATCATCATTTAGTGATGGATTTAATTCATCAAGACCAGTGCAAGGGCAATGATTTTCTGCGGTGATGAAACACTAATTCTGTCTGTGCTAAAAACAAATTCCGTATGCATGACGTGCATTAAAAAACACCATGTTCTGCGTAAATTCCGTTATAATATCTATGCATTTTGCAGAAATTCTATGTTTTTTACAAAAAAAAAAAAAAAAAAACGAATCCATGGTTAAACGATTTGGTGGTGTTCAATCAGAAAGATGGTTACGCGACCGCTAAATTAGTTATTGTTTTTCTTATTTAAAAATATTACAAAATGGAAATCCTAATTATTACGATTAAAATAAAGCATAGCACACTCAAACTTTGTAAAGACTCTTCAGATAAATTTTGTAACCATATACTTATATTCAAATGCTATTTGAGATAAAAGGGTATATAAATGATCAGCCATATTTGACCAATATTCATCTAATGCAACATCTATATTAAACGTGAATTGCCTATTCATCTTTTTAGATTCAAAAGAGGAAAGAGAGTTTGTTGAAGTTGACGTTGTTTATTTTCATACAAATTTTTCTTAGTTTTATGTGTTTTACTATAAAGGTGGTCATCAACCATTGACTTTCGTAGCCAATTATAAAATAGAATTCCATTGTCAATGTGAAATTCGCCAAGATTTTTTTTTACTCTAGTATAGTGATGTTAGCCGGTAAAAAAACCTTAGCCGGCTAAGAACTTGAATAGATTTTTTACCTATCAAATAACATGAATTCATTAAAAATCGGCTGCTTTTATTGTTTTTATTAATACTAAGTTTATTTCCTTTATTTGTGCGTGAAATTGATGTGTGAAGATTGTATCCATAAAAATCAGCCACTTGATATAAAACTTTACATATAATTATTAACCAACTTATTGATCAAAAAGTTACAAGTTTCTCTCAAAAATAATATATTATGAATGTTGTTTTGGTTCTGTCTATTTCTTTTTTTTTTTTTTATAAATACACTTTCAGCTGAGGAAAACATCCTCTCAGACGGGATCAAGATTTCTGATAAATTCTAGCTAGATTTGTAGAACTACTTTTTTCTAATTCCACCAATGGAGTGGATTAATAAATATTATCATTATTGTTATCATTATTGTCATTATTAATATTATCATTACCACCATTATTACTATCACTATTGCTATTTAATCCATCATTAATATTATTATACAATGGCCTAACAGACTGAGCATTTGCTTTGCTACGAGTATTTGTGAATTTCTTTTTTGGTGGCACAACGAATGAATGAAAATAAAATTTAATTGGGCTAAGCCGTTTAAAATTTTCTTGGCCGGCTAACATCACTACTCTAGTATTGATTGTAATTTTTGTTTTTGTACCTCTTCTTCTATTAAAAAAAATTATCATGCTTATCTCTCTCCTGCACGTTTAACAACAAATAATTCTCTACTTTGTCATTTTATTAAAGTATTATATATGAATTTTTTTTTGAAAAAATACTTCGTGAAAAACAATGTAAATTCGTGGCACGTTATCGATTAATAAAAATTAACATCTACTGTATATATTTCAAAACATGAGACGCATTTTTATTATGCCATCAAGTCACGTTTAAACTTGGAAATTAGGTTTAATTATCGATTGAAAATTTCGAAAACTCGAGTATTTTAATTTTTCTAATTTTTATAATAATCATATAATCTTTCTACAGATAATTTCATTGTTAATCTCATAAAATTGAATCCTAAAATGGGATTGTCACTTACCATTCTTGCATAAGCAGATCGGTTCATTACCCATAGGACACATGGAGTTATTGTCACCAAATTTGTTCGTCGCAGATTATCAGTGAAAAATCCCATTTCACCTACTACATTAAGTGGTAATATTCTCTCAATTTGTTCTGGTTTATTATTCTCTGCTGAAATCCGTGTGACACTCAATTGTCCTTCCTCCACCACACACATAAAATTTGGGTTAGTTCCTTCCTCCCACAGTGTTGAATCCTTTTGTAATCTTTCCTCTTTAAAATATGGAATCAACAAGTTAAAAACTTTCTCTTTTTCATTGGTAGTTTCATTAAATGCCTTCATCAAAATATTTACAAGTCTGCTTCTACTTTTAAGATAAAGCTCATCTAAATCAAATGTAAATTAATTAATATATATGTATATATGTACTGATTGATTGATTAATTTACTTACTTTTAAATATATACTTTCCAGCGTTTTCAACTTGATGACTACAAAAAGTCTCATCCTTAAGTAAAGATGGTATAATCTGATGATGTACTCCAACTTTAATAAATATTAAAAAAAAAAATATTATTAATGGATTTTTAACATCCAATAAATTTATATTATAAATAATTACCAAGCTGGTTATTATTGAATAGTGGTTTGTGTTTAGCATAATAAGTTCCCAAAAGTGAATCCTCACACCATTCAAGTGCCTCATTATATTTACCAAAAACCTTTACATAATCATTATGTGAATCTTTCCAAAATGACAATTTCTTCAATGGTTTATAAACTTGCTCAGAGCCATGTAATGATATTCCACAGATTACAAAGTATATTTTTTGACATTGAAGATATTTTTGAATGTTTTCAAGCACTTGGACAGCATTAATCCCAAATCCAGTAACATTACACATGTTCAAAATTAAGAATCTAATTGGCTTTGAAGTCTGTTCACAATCAATCAGGAATTCCTTTATATCATCTTCAATTCCTTTCATTGTTCCATAAAACATATAGCCTTGTAACATCCTTGCATGGATTTGACTACCACCAACTTCTTTGAGAAATTGTTGATCACGGTAATGCCTCCGAACAGAAGATCTAGCTGAATTGCTAGGAGCCATTTTTCCTCTTTTATAATTGGATGCCAGAAAAAATATATACGAGAACATTATTCCTATAACTATTCCTTCAACAAATCCAATAGTCATTATTGCAACTATTATGATTATCATATTGAAGTTTTCATAATTATCAGAAAACTTCCATGAAGCTATCAATGCTTTTCCTATCAACTCCAGACCCAAATAAACAATCATTGTAACTACAACTATTGCAGGAATGTATTTAATAAATAGTTGTCCAAAATATACTGTTATACTAATACAAAATGCAAGTATCAGTCCTACAACATGATTATTTATTCCTGATTTAACCATCAAAATCGATTCTTCATACCCCAAGGAAACTATAATGATTTATTAGTGTCATCAGTATTGGCATTATATGATTTCACAAAACAAACAAATAATTATAATAATTCTATTCTAACCTTGAAAATGTCCAAAAATTCCAGAAATTAAATTAGAAACTCCTTGTACAATTAATTCACGATCTATATCCATTTTATGGTCATCAATTGAAGCCTCAAATTTACTAATCTTTATATGGGCACTCAAAATCATAAAGAATATGAGAATAAGCATTGTAGAGATAGTTTTTCCTATTGCCTCCCAACTGATTAATCTAAAATCTATGCAATCAATATATATTGTTGATAAATTAGTATATTATGTTTATAAATCAGTAAGCAGATTTATGTATACTCATACTTACAGAAATCAGAGTAGAATTTAGACATTGTGATTTGATTATCTAAAGCAAATATCCAACCATCTTCAATCAATGATCCAAAAGGAATACTCCAAAAGTATGCGATAAAATAGAAACCCAAGAAAATTGATAGAAAACTTAAAGTGGTGACCAGAACATGATAATTTTTAGCTTTACATCTAATAAAGACTGTGAGATTTGCCAAAATGGATGCCAAAGAAAATAACAAAAAATTGTTCTTATGAAAAAATAATCTGTAGTTATAATCAGAAGTCTCGGTATTTGGTGCTGAAGTCTTTATAGCAGTCAATACTAAGTAAATACCAATACTACCGAGTACTCCGTTATAAATGTGTTTTGGGAAAATATCCAAAAGGAAACGAAGCTAGAGTTTTTTATAGTTATCAATTAATCAATGATTAATTGATATCTACAGTATATACATGATATATTCGTCAATTATACATCAATAATATATAATGGTAGATTACCTTGAATCGTACAAATAATAAAAGTCCGACACCAGTTAGTATGGCACTTAGAGCGTAAGCAAATATTATTGTGTAAATCACATCATAATTAATATATAGGTTTGTTGATGCAAAATGATCTTCAATTATTTCCGCTCTTTTTTTTTTAAGCAAAAATACTACTATTAAAATATTATTCTTTTAAAAAAAACTTGTAGCAGTTGTTGAAAGATTTACTTACATCAAATGTAAAAATGGTATTACTATTATATTGTCATTTAAAACAAAAAAGAAAAATATTATTTATTAGACCATGAAATTACGAATAATTTGATTTCTAATTTTTTTCTTTTAAAAAATACTTACATTGTATTATCATTGTACCATTTTCTCCTTGAAGGTTACCAAAAATTGAATTTACGACTTTTGAAATAATACAACTTTATTGACAAAGATGCAAATCATTAGCCAATTAAACAAATTCAAATTAAAGTGAACCATTATCATTATATAATTTACCTCGTAAAAAACATCGTCATGCCAATATATTTATATTTTTCAAATGACATTTCGTTTTTATTTTTATAGTGATCATGGGCAGGAAACAATATAATACCTTGTTTTTTCGTTTTTAAAAAAAAATTAAATTGGCAAGTTTATATTTAACTCTTACTGATATATTATTAATAATTACCAAATGCTACTCCATGTACGATATTTAATGGTACAAACATGAAGACGTAACGGTATAATGGTGGTTTTGTCATCACGTTTTTGAGTTCTTTTTTTATGTCTGAAACTACGTTGTAATTTTGCGATGAAATCTTTGTTTCTGGTTTTGAATCCCGGCATTTTTCTTCTTCCTCTATCAATCTTGTTGTTTCAGTACTGTAATCACCGATGTACCCATGTGAACTATTTTTAAGTGATGAGTTTTCATTTACGGAATCTGGTTTATTTATACTTTGCCCGACTATCATTTTCGACATATCCACTATTTTGTGTTGTTGTTGTTGTTGAAACAGGTAATGATAATCTGTTTGTGGTGGTAGATTATAGCGCAGCATTGTATTTGGTACTGGTCGTACTGTTAATGGTGGTGGCAATGGTGGTTGTCCAAAGCCAGGTTGTGGCGGTAATTGTAGCATCCTAGTCAAATTACTCGAATTACAATTATTATTATTATTATTGTAGTCGCAAGCGTGGCAATGGTGATCGCAGTTCAGATGATTTCCCGCTGTTGCGCTAGTTTCTCCAAAACCTTATTAGATACATGGATTATTAGTATTCTTGTGGATATTTTAAATTAAAGATTTTACCCTCGTTTGAGGAAAGACACGTACTTTTGTTTTTATTGTTAGTATACATGGTTTTTATTGAAAAGAAGTGAAAAAATTATATTTAACAATCAGAGAATTATTAAAAGAGTTTTATAGAATCGCGGCTTTTAATATTTGTTGCACTAAAAGAAAATGATAATATGATTTTTGTTAATATTAATATGTTGATATTAAGGTTAAGATTAATATTAACTATTATGATTACGCAAAATGAATCACTGTGTAACCATTTATTTCATTTATTATTTTTTATATATTTATTTCTTTATCTGATATTTTATTTATTAATTAACTTAAAACGGTTCAAAAAGAATTGTAATACTAAATGATGATAGAAGCTACAATGGATTTTTGCTTTAAGAGACAAAAGTGTCTGACTTCTACTCATTCATCAGAATAACTCATGATCATTCATTATCTTTACTATTTTAGTGAATCATTAAGGAGTATTTGAACACCTTGAATTCTCAATAACATTCATTCCTCTTAATAATAACATTGTAAATAAAAAAAATCCTATACCGTAAAGTCTGGAAAGCACCTTCTAAAAATAGAAACTGAAATAGTCTCTGCACCATATGCGAACGATTTCCGGGTAGGTCTGACCTTTATCCCTGCGTTCAGAGGGATACAGCTTTAACCTGGAGAGATAAATATAAATGCACGGATATATCTCTGAACACCTGGTCCATAGATCTTGAGTGAATTATCCCGACCGATACCCAAAGATCGATAAGATTGATAAGGGGGGATATCCCTCTTATATGTTTTCCCAGGCTGAGGCTCTATCCCTACGAACTGAGGGATAAAAGTGTAACCTTTCGGAAATTGTCCACAAGATAAACAAATAAGGAAAATTTTAATTTTCCTACGGAAATTTATACGCCTCGCTGTATTAAATCATCATGTACAATATTTCAAAAAAGACAGCAAAAATTCAAGGAAGAAATGAGGCAATGGTGTAGGTCATCCAAAGACATTAAACCATTAAGGCTTTTTTTTCAATTAATAAAATTGAAAAAAAATCTATTTTTGCAATCTTTAGAACCTAAGCAACAACGGAATAGAGTTTTTTCAATTTTATTAATAAAAAAAAGCCTTAGTGGTTTGAAGTCGCTCGATTTTGCTATATCAACAACAACATTAAAAACAATAATAATAATAAAAATAATAATAATAAAAATAGCAACAAATCACAAATATTCCACCAAAAAACTGAACAATCAATCTTAAAATGGATCCACCAGGGATACTCTATCGATTTAGTAATATCAAGGTAATAAATACAATCCACAGGGTTTCTTTACCAACACAAATTAAATTATGATCTAATTTGTCAAAAGGAAAGTATATCATTCTTAATGGCTAAAGTGCACATTGACATCTAATCAATTACAAATATATAGAATTATTATTATTAATTATTCACACATGTATGCAATTATTTGATATTACTTGAATAAAATTTAATTGGGGAATCAAGTGTAGTTATATATTTTATTTTTTAATTTTTGTTATAATAATAATCATAATGGTAATGATTTAACCTTTCTACAGATAATTTCATTGTTGATCTCATAAAATTGAATCCTAAAATGGGATTGTCATCCATCATTTTTGTATAAGCAGATCGATTCATTACCCATAGGACACATGGAGTTATTGTCACCAAATTTGTTCGTCGTGGTTTATCAGTGAAAAATCCCATTTCG